CAAATGTCAGAATTCCTGTTTTAGTGATCTGTAACATCCTATAGAACAGAACCACTGAATTTTGACTGTTCTCTTCAAAAGTGGTGTAAAACCATTTGGCTGTGTACTTTTTAGATTAAAAAATGGCAGAATATGAAGAACTCAATGAAAATCAAGCCTGAATACGCAGTCATATTTGCATTTTTTCTTCATGTGAAGCATAGTGTCAAAAAGGTTCAGAAGTTCTCATTCAATAGATCAACCAGAGGCTTTTATACTGATTATTCTTTGGTTTAGCATTCTGTTTTGGAGCAGAAGACTATACCAGAAGATCTGCCATCCCCAACAGAGAAATATAAACTGAAGTATCGTCAGTATGAAGCAGATATGAAGGAAGAATATAAACACTATTCTCAGAGAATTCCGGAAAAGAAAAAAGACCACTTCCAGTGTACAGAAGCTTCAATAAAGGTAGCTGGCAAAGAAATAATTCCATTTTTAAATAGCAAATGTACATTGGTATTTCATTACAGTGTTTGGAGAGGTTTGCATGTGTGTGTAATTAATTTCTTCTGTGTTTTTATTGTAAAGAAAGAAAACGTGTATTTTCAGCATCTAGTGTTGAGTAGGAAATAAAGTATCGGAAGCTTGTTTCTGTTGTTCCACAGTGAGAAACTGAGGTGCTCGGAGGATCTAAGTATGTTTGTATTCTCTGGGAAGAAATGTAACATTTGCCCTCATAGTGCACCTCTAGCCTGAGCAAGAAGATTAGCATGATTTGATAGGGAACAGTTTTTGCAGCCTAAGAAGATGAGAGACAGTGGGAAGATCTTGGTAAAATTTTATTTCCAAATATAGAAAGGCATTCAAGCTTTTTTATTTTTTAAATATAGAAGTATTTTAATTATTATTCTATTCAATTGTGACTGTACATAGGACTTCAAAAAGGAGTGAAAGATATAATCTGTACCTTGGAGAACTATTAACACTGAAAATGAAAGGGAATATGGGGTTAAAGTAATGAAAGATATTATCTGTACTTTCTGCTTTGATGTTGTATGAGATCAGTACAGTTGGACTGCAAATTGTATGGCAAGCTGTATTAATTCTGCTGGGTTTCTTTTGTATTTTTAAATTAGAACTAGGATGCAAACAAGGGAAAATCAGTGGAGAGAAACTGAAAAACAAAGGGGTGAAAGAAACCTGACTTTCCTGTTGTTCTGGAAGAGATAAAGGAGAAGGGTGGCTGCACATATTGTAGGTGTAAGGAAACAGGAAACAAAAGTAAGCAACAGCTCTGAGGACTGGTCAAATGCTAGACTGTGCTGAGGGTAGATGACCATTTAAGAATCTTAATGAAAAGTTAAGTATGCAAATGTTGAGGTGTCATAGTTTTGAACCCCTGGCTAGTAGCAGCCAAACACCACAACAACCGCTCACTCACCCTCCCACCTCCCCGCTTTCTCCTCTCAGGGATGGGGGAGAGAATTAAAGGGGTAAAAGGTAAAGTTGTTCATAAGAACAACTTAATAACTAAACTACAATAACATTGAAAATAATAATAATGATAAAATAATAGTAATATATGCAGATGAATGATACACAGTGCAAGTGCTCATCACCTGATGACCAAGGCTCAGCCCGTTCCTGGCTAAGGATCTCAGAGCAGGGAGAGTCCTGAAACTGCTATCCCAGAGCAGAGATAAGAGCCTGAGAGACTGAGACAACCCTGAGAGAGGGGTGACCTAGAGGGAGATTACCTGGAACAAGAGAGTACTTCTGGGCAGAACCTCATCTATATACTAGGCATGATATGGAATATACCATTGGCCAATGTGGGTCTCAGTGCTAAACCTAAGGTCGAATCCTAGGCTAGCAATTGGGGCTGTGCTCCCTCCCAGCTTCTCCTGCACCTGCAGACCGTGGTACAGCAAAGAAGCTGAAAAGCCCTTGACTGTCTTGGCAGCAGCTGTAAACATCAGTGTGTTATCAGCCTTCTTCTCAGCACAAATCCAAAACATAGCCTCTCACTAGCTACTAGGAAGAAAGTTAACTCTGGTCCCAGACAAAACTAGGACGTGAGGGAACATAGTATGTTTATTGCTTTTCAGAGGAAAGGGTTGTGATGAATAGCAATGTGTTTACTTGCTTAATATTCGGTAGAATGAAGAGAGAAAGTCTTGCATAAGACAAAGATTGTTTCACGTTTGTTGTTGTTCTAAACATTGTTGAGAGTTTAAAGGGGCTTTCTCCTGTTAGTCACACTTCTAGTGTTCAGATAAAACTTGGAGAACCTGCAAGTACCTATAACTAAACATTCTATGAGTAAAAGAATTGAGTGAAAACACTATTTCTGTTATTTTCTTGAGAAGATTGTCAGTTCTGGGGATCTGTTGTAGTATTGTTTTTTTATTATTATTTTTAATGATTCCACTCTTACATACTAGTCTGACATCATCATGTCATCTGTTTTTCAAGAAGTGACTCCTTTGTATGCTGTACTGCAAGCCTATCAAAAGGGTATTTACAGGAGCAGCCAAGTTAATCTGAAACTGAAGAAATAGGAGGCAAGTGTATACTGAGAGAGAAAAAGGCAGAATTGGCTTATTCTGGTGATTTTGGGTTCCAGAAAGATACTTGTTAAGCACTAGAAGCTGTGTGTGTCAGTTCTTATGACAGATTTTAATATAATGTCTAGCAGAGCAATTTTCTGTTAGACATTATCACTACCTGATTAAGTTAATAAATCAAAACCTCTTTAGTTTTCAAGATAGTTATTGTTTTATCTTATTAGTGGAACTGGTAATAACTTTTCTTCTCTGAAAAGAAGCTGCTCCTGGAGGAACATAGCTAACAAAACCTATTCTTTTGATTTCTTTCCCATCTTCCTTCTTTGGCTTCTGTAAACAGTCTCCTTTGTCAGTTTTCTTCATATCCTCCATGTAGGAGATATTTCCGAAATACCCTTGGACTGATTTACAAGTCTGTTAGACCCAGTTCAGCAGTATACTTTGGCTTTTCCCCATCTAGACTGTATTTAACTTCTTTGCTGATCAAAACGCAGCATCTCTGCAATGGTGAGCTTTGAGCTATATGCATAACATTAAATCCACTGCTTTCTCTTGGCTGTTCTTGAGCAGCACGGAGAATGGATGAGCTCTTGTCTTCTTCAGAGAGCTAGTAACGGTCTGCCTTCTCTGACTTGCTGCTGATTTTTCACAAAGCTTGTAGGAATGCAGTATTTTTGAAGTTTCATATTATTTCATATTATTTTGAAGTGCCATATTATTTCAATATGGTTGAAAGCTGCTAAGTATTCAAAAGCTGTAAGGAAAAACTAGAGAGCAAGATTTGCAAGTTCAGTTTCTGTAGAAAGCTCGGCTTAGAAAAATTCTTTAATTTTTCTGATTAGCATGTAGTGGAAAAAGTAGATGCTTTAAAAATAAAGAAAAAGATTTTTAAATAAATTTTAAATAAATGTGTGGGGCGTTTTTAGTTAGTTTTTCTTACATATAATTAAATTTGGTTTATGATGAGTGTGTTTCTCTATAGGTTAGACAGCTTGAAGAAGGACATGGTGATAATCTTACAGCTGTTGATGAGAAAGCTCTCCAGCAGCAACGTTACACAAACAAGCCGTCTAGTATGTGGCACAGTATAAGGAAATCAGAAGCTGTAAGTATGGAGGCTGGTACTGTGCTGTTAACTCTCTACACTTGTAGAATGGCTTCCCAGATGTTCAACAGAAGTTAGGCATTTGGCGGTTTGGTTCTAGTATATAATTGCACACATTGAAATCATGGGAGTTTAAACATTTGTTTCAATTGGAGCTGAACTGAGCATTCCAGTGAGCGTTTTTTTGATCTTATCTGCAATGCTTGTATTTTATGCAATCATGTATATAAATGAGTCTTCAATATCTCCCTGTGATGTTCTGCTCTTCTTGTGAAGAACGGTTGGTTTATAACCTTGGCCTCCTGTTACACCATTGGCCACTGTCAAATAAAGTTTGTTTCTGTCTTCTCTGTAGCTTCCCTTTGGTTATAGGATGTTTTCAGAATGCCTTTGCTTCTGCAGTCTAAACAAACCCAAGCTCCCTTAGCCTCTCTTTTAAGTTGCTTTGGCTTCAGTCCTCTGTCAGACCAGAAACATGTCTTAATTCTTCGGTTTCAGAATACCTACAAAAAGGTTGCATAAACCCCCTCAGTAACAATAATCTCTGTTTTCTCATATATAAAAATAATTTTTGGGGAAAAAACACAAATTTAAGTCCAGTGCAAAAAGTTCAGAAATCTGGAAGAGAAAATGAAGGGAGGTGATGGGGCCTGGTTGTTGCCAGTGGCCTCCATACTATACTGAGGTATCCCTTGTGCTTTGGTTTCTCTTTCTGTGAAACAAATGATGATCAATGCTTGAGCACTTTACAGTGAATGACACAAGGTTATGGTTCAGTGTTATTCTAATAAAAATAATAATAAGATCATGTTAAATCCCCTTCTCCCATAGGATGATCTTTCCTGACAGGTTTTTCAGATTGGCCTGTCTCAGCAGAAAATTATTGTGGCATGCAGCAAATAAAAATTGTGCTTTGAGACTAAGTCTTAAAATAATTTTTTTGACTAAATATTGCTGGAGGTACAGTTTTGTTCTCTGAGGTGGAGTCTGTGTCAACCATGAGACTTGGAATAGTGTGAGTTTCCTCAGACGCTATTGTGCTTAGAGATTTTATTGGAAACAATACAGAGATAAGGATGCTGTCTCTCAAGAGAAATACTAGACCTCTCATATTTATTGACAATTAATATGCATAAACAAATTGAGGGTGTAGCAGAGAATATTATTTGTCTATTAGTTATGCAACTAGAACTCTACTAAAAAAGATATAAGAAACAAGATTAATTGTGACACTGATAAGATTGTGATCGCTGAATGATATCCTAAAGGATAATTTATTATTTGAAGTGTCTGATTATATATTTTATTTGCTCTCACTCAGTTTTTCATTGCAGGAGGATGTTGCTGCAGAGAGGAGAAAACAGGCTGTAGTAGAACAAGTGATGGTGGATCAATTATCTAGGTAAGTGAATTTGTAATGTAAAATTTCAGTTTTCCCTGCAGAAGAATTTACATTTGTAAGTGTGTGGCTTTTCTTGCCTAGGAGGTGTTTTGATCATCTAGTTCCAAGTCTTATGCAGTCTTGTGTAGTGTTATTATTTGCAAAAATTATTTAAATGAAAGTATTTTTAATTTAACTTGAAAGATCAGTTTAAAGTGCTATGTGTAAGTTAATTTTTTTTTTCTGATAAATATTTTTAATTTTATACTTGAACCTAATTTAAGGGCTTTACAATAGCACTAGTTCTCAGAAATAACCCTCCTACACCTCAGCAAAATATATGGATTCCTACTGTTGCAAATTATACTTCTTCAGTATTTATTTTCTTTTCTAAGAATCTTAGGTTTATTAGTATTCCTTTATTAATATTGACAGAACATCTCTCTGGAGTAAAGGAGTAGGTAGGAAAAAAAGGATCAAGGTTGTACAGGAAGGCTCTCCTGACTTCATTGCTGTTTGTTTAGCTCTGAGAAAGCATTGCTTCTATGTAGAAAGATGGCTTTATATGTTAAGGAGGGAAAAAAAGTAACTTACAGGTTTAGATGAGTATAGTAAAAGCATCCTCCCTTGTTGTTATTCCCATAAACTTGTTCTCATTTTTAAGCATGCTTTAATAATTCAGGGCTTTATCCAAGTTGTCTGGTTATGGCAATATAGGATGCTGCAAGCTATTTTAATATAGTTTTATGTTACCTTACACTTCCTAAATTTTTTCTGTGGGTGGTTCTACAGTATGTTGCATTCTGTGCTTAGTTTACAATCTCTGTAGTCATCTGTACTGATATCATAGCCCATTAGGTCTTAAGACCTGAGGTTGAAATGTTGTTGCACGTCACCATTTTATTTTTTCTTTGTTTCCATTCTAACTACAGCTTAAATGACCTATATTGTTTAAAAGTCTGTTAATGCTTCTACACTATGTAAAAGCTGAGAAGATATCAGGAAAGTTGCATGAAGGAAACAAGATTGTACTGAAACACAATGTTAAATTCCAAGCATCGTTGTAGCAGGATTAAAAATATGGAAGTGTTTAGTTCAGAAATCCTGAATTTTCAAAGAAATGCTTGCCCCATGTCATATCACTACGAATATGTAGGTAAAGCAGATAATTACAGAGATTATCTTAAAAAGGCGCTGGTTGTGTTGAAGTGTTTGAACCCTGCTGATGTTGGGTTAAACATACAGGTTCGTGCATCTTGGATCACAGATTTTCATTCTGTGCTTAATCTCCTTCAGCTGCTTTGCCTTATTTTTTCCATGTGTTCCTTCTACTCTGAACCCTTCTGTTGATGAAGTCAGAACAACATTCAGTAGTGCTGCGGCTGTATCAGGATGAACTTTTAACTTAAAAAAATCTCCCTGTTTATGTTCCAAATATAACTGTGCCAGTACTGCCAAACAAATTGGTATCAGGGAGCAGGATGTTAATCGGGGAGGATTAGTTAAAAACTGTTACATGAAAAAAATCTATTAAAGGAAACACAAAGGTGTTTTGATTTTTTGTTTTTCAGTATAGCCAATCTTGCGGTTAAATCAGTGTAACTGATGTGTGCAAAGATGGATCTGCATAGATCAGAGAGTAAGATTATAAAACTGTATTTGCTGTGCAAAATTATTTTTTCCTTCTGATAATGAACTATTTCAATAATGTAAAAAGAATCTAATGTATTTTTAAAGGATCTCTGCTTTTGTTTACTTGTTAGATTGAGACAGAAAATATCAAAATGTTCAGAAACCTGTTAATTTATTTCTTGTCTGCTTGATGGGATTTTGAGATCCTATGGGCTGTGTAGCCAGTGCTTTGGGAGAGGAAGGGCCAATGTTTGTTTTGGATGATGTCACTAGCCAGTACTACTACCTGCTGTCACCGATTTTCTAGGTAGCCATGGATAAAGAATATCACTGGTGGAATATTTACACTATTAGTGGAAATGAGAAAAAAATACCCTTTGTAATCGTAAGATTTATTTGACATACACATATAAAAATATACTTTAAATAATACATACATACATGTAAAGTATGGTATGGTAGCATGCTTCCAGAATATTATTGCATATATTTAATTTTGAGTAATAGAATTTGTAAAAACAAACAAAAAAATAAGGCCACAAATTTATGCAAGCTTGATGAATAACTCCAAGATTTTATTGCTGTGTTATTCCTGGATGTTTTCTTTCCTGAGTAAGAATCTGTAAGATCTGAAATGCAAATGTACCAATAGTCAGAGGGTTGTCCTTGTGCTTTCTGGTCAGAGCTGTTATAAGTGACCCAGAGCAATCCATGCATGCTGATGTTTACAAGGAAGCTCCTGGACTTCTGGGACTTGAGACTGCACCAATACGTTTTCGAAAAAGAACGCTGCATGAAACAAAGTAAGTTTACTCTAGTGGTCAATTTTTTTAGAAATACATTTTCTGCTGTATTTTTTAGTATTTTGGGCTCTGTGAAGTCTGTTTGCGTTTCCAAATGTTTTATTTCTGGCTTGGACCCACCAGCTTCATGTGAGGCCTCTTTTTGTAGTCTCCCTATGCCTATAATTGCCTAGTGAGACCTTTTTTTACATGGATTCTCTGTGTATAGTGATTGATTCATAGTATTTATAAAACCTTCTTAAGCTTTTATTGATATTGTTCATCATAGGGTTTTGCCAGCCTTTTCTGAGCTGTTGAATGCTTGCAATATTGTTATATCCTTTTAGAGATTCCTATCTTGCGGTGCATAAAATTTCATAAATATGCATCTGTAAATGCTAATGTAGTTCTTCACAATATAATAATACTTTTTCATGTTTTGATTTCTGCTGCAGTAATTAACCATATTGGCATTTAAATGTCATTCCTAGCCTGTGAGCATTGAATTAGTACCTCCAAGGGCTTAAGAAAAACTGAGAAAACACAGTGATCCATAAAATGAAATGAATCTGCAGGTCTGAGTTTTGTTCTATTAATCTTGCTCAATGTGCAGGCAAGCATCTCTGCTTTGCACATTTTACCATCCTGCTCTAAAGTCTTCCTCAACAGATGTAGTCTTTGTAGTCTTAAAAGAAAAAAAAAAGCAAAACCAGTCTCAATCTCTTCCACCCATCACATGGACAAATCTCCATTTATGGAACTAGTTATATGGCCAATAGAAAATATCCAGGTGGGTAAACAAGACCCTACCTGGGTATTTTTGGAAGAAAGCATGTTGATTGGTGGAAGTATGGTGACTGGTAGAGGTTTAACTCTTGATACAAGTGTATGTAAACAAAATATCCCACTCATATCTATGCATTCTGTGAATGAACTCTCATACAGTTACAGAACACCTTCCACATTACAACTCTGGGTTGCTTTCTAATAAAATTACAAGGGATGATCTCCTCAGCCAGTTGCCAAGGATACTATATTTCACATTTTTTGCTGTTTTGAAACAGTTGATTTTTATGTAACATCTCTGTGAGCATATAGGTATCATTAACATGCTGCATTATTTGCACAGAATAAGGACCAAATCAGGATTAACTGAAAACATGCTCTCTAACAAGCTGCGCTTTGATAGTAGGATTATATCAAGGTAATCACAAATTTTGTGAAGCTTTTCAATTCTATGAATTTATGAATTATGATCTTTACCCTCTTGAACTAATTAATTGCACTGAATGTTTCTGCTCCCAATGTTTAGAAAACTGTGTGTGCTGCATGGGTATATATATGCATGTATATGTAAAATACAAATGTTGACATGGCTGGTGGGTAGTGGTTTACAGTCCCATTGTACACTGTTAAGATGATGGGGGCGGGGAGGGGCTGGAACTAGATTTTCTTTAAGGTTGCTTCCAAACCAAACCATTCTATGATTCTATGACATAAACATATTCGTGTATCCTGAAGGTGGCACTTTTCTGAAGCAGTGAGTTGTGTACTTGTTAGACGTAGCTGAATATTCAATCATGTAGCTTCGTATACTCTAATGAAAGCAGTAGTCCTGGTGTAAGTAATCTTTTAGTTAATGAGTGAAAATTACATTGGTATACTAAAACATGATGTCTTGAAAGGTGTTTTTACCATTATGGAGAACGGAATATTGCATTAAAATATGTGTCCACATCCCGAAGTTGAATTCTGTGGTGGTTTAGAGAAAATAGTCAGGTACCTCTTTCAAAGAAAAAGATTGTACAATATGCAACATTGGAAATAAAATGCATATTACAAAATATAAATGTTATTTCTATTTGGGTTGAATTGGGTTTATATAGCTGCAAAACCATAAAGGTACTTTTCAATTTTCCTTCTAGAAATGGTCACGATGCTTGTAGAGAGTTGATTGGATTCTTTTTTATGTGTGACAGATCCCTTACTGTGTATGAATTTCGACAGTTTGGAAAAAATAGGTAGGATTAATTACTTATTAAAAAGGTTTTAGTAAACATTTTCCACTGTATCTAAGGTACTTGAATAAACATAATTGTTTTAATATTAGTTTTGAATTATTTCACAGAACAAGTGCCTTACCTTTCATTCAAAAGGGAGTTTATCAACATCAACGTGGACAGAAGAGGGGAAAAGCTTATGATCTTAGTGACTTCTATATTGTAAGTATTCTGTTGAATTTGAGTAAATTTTTTTAGTGATTTGGAAGTCATATTTAGATAATTGTGATCTAGCTTTCAGGAAAGACTGAAAGTCTTTCCTTTCAGTAACATTTTCGAATTAAAGATTTTCAGGAGTCTGAGTTATTTTGCTGTCCCACGTTTTAAGAGAGTCCATTTTTAGTGTCAGATTACGCTGTAGTTTGTAATTTTCCCACTAGAGGGCACAAGACTGCAGACAGTGTAGACCTTTTTGTAAGCAAAACGAATGGCTCGGGAAAGAGAGTCTTGAAGACGAAGTGTACCAAAATAGTTGTTCAAAATTAGTAATCTATGCAAGGTCTGCTGGCATTTTTGACACGAGACAGTGATTAAATATTTTTTTTAAAACTTGAGGAAATGGCAGGTTAATCGGTTTTAACCTAAAGTTTTGAAAATGTTTACCACCAGCTTTTTAGAGAGAGTTTTTGCAACAATGGTAAACTTCATCTACCAGCTAATCTGATGAGTGAGTAGAAATCATGTTGCATCTTCTGTACTTTTGTACTGGGTTAAGTGTTCCTGGCTTATAAGTACTTGAGCAATTTTTCAAGTACAGAGTGTTTTACTGAGTTCTTCACATGCTCCTGCAAATCTTAAGTTTAGAGCAAAAACCATGTTTGAATGAAGTATTGAAAGTAAAAGAAGCCAACATTACTTTTTAGAGTGATTTGTCTAATCATCTGCCTAATCCTAACTGTTTGCATGTGGCATTGATATAAGGGTTTCCAAGATGAAACAGATTACTTTCTTTATTGGATGGGGGTGAAGCTATTTTTTTTAGAGTGAGGTGGCTTGTTGTTGTGTGTATCTTTGCAACCTGCAGATGGAAATGTGTTCTGAATAAACATGCATCTTAAAGCCATCCAGAAAATGTGCTGCTACCAAGTTTGATAGCTCTTTGGAATGACATTGTATCTGTGAATCTCTGTATCTGCAGACTGGGTTTCTGGGCTGACATTAAGATACACACATGTCTCACAAAGTCCAAATGGTTGAGACACTTGCACAATAAGAGTGTCTCTGTGCTAATTTCTTAATTTTGGGGGCTTTATGACCTAAGCTTACATAGATCGTTGATTCTTGTTTGATTCTTCTCAGCATTCTTTGTTTTTACTTTGCTGCTTTTTTTTCCTCTCCCCTTCCCTCTTTTCCCAAACAAAAACAGATCTTTAGTTTTGCAGAATATGTGAGGTGTGTCCTCTGTCCCCAACTTGGAGGGAAGGGGAATTGATAATACTCCGAAGAGAATATACTGAGTAATAGAACTCCATGCTACTAATAACATGTTTTTATTCAATATTTATGAGTGAAAGCTAGCAATTTTAAATAATAACTTTGTAGTTAAGCACTGCAGGAATGATTTGAACCTTGGGAAGGCTACTTTTTAGTTGTTTGTTTACATCAAGTATGATTTTAGGTTATTGAAAATAACTGTGGAGGGTTTCTTCTGGTCTGAGAGAACTTTGCTCACATGTAATTGATGTGGTACCTTCTGTGACCCAGTGAGTTTTGGATCCCATAAGGATGAAGAGAAAAGAAAAATTGAAAAGTAGAGCCTGTCTGAGGGAAAAACAATCTGTAGTCTCATGTTTCTCAGCTGTTCTTCTCAGCTCTTACTAGACAAACCTAATGTGTCATCTTTGGAGCCTGCAGCTGTTTTTTATTTAGTGCTAGAAAGGCTTTGTTGAGGGGGTTAACTAACTTTAGCTACACCTTTTCAGCATTTCATACCAAAGCTTTTAACAATCATACTTCTTGAAACTCTTGCAGAATGTATTTTACAAAATATCCGACCTATTTGTAAATCATTGTATGCTTTACCAACAGGGCGCTAACCTAACTTTCCGAAGTGCTGATCATAACCTTCCAGAAAGTGTTAAGCAGAACCCAGTTTTCACCCTTCGTGTGATAAGTATTGATGAAGCAGCTATGGATTTTCTAAAGCAAGTGCAGCTAACTGTTTTTCAAGTTACTTTTCCTTCCTTAAGCAAAAAAAAAATAAAAAATTAATAAGAACTTCTGACATCTTATTACTTATACTGCTAAAAAAATAATTTGTACTTACGCTGTTGTTAGGAAAAAATAGTAATGTTAGCGGATGTTCTGTAATTCAGTAACTTTCTAAAATTATAAGAAGCAATTTTAAAATAATTAATTAAATTATGAAACTCTCCTTTTTGCTTTGTTTGAAGTCAGATATTTTCATATACAAATCATATACTGAAACTTTTCTTATGTGATGAACTAAAATACATTTGGGGAAAACTGCTTTTTTGGTCATCAACATTATTATTATTGAATCCTTTGTGAAACTTAGGTTAAAAGCTTCTATCAGTCATTATAACACCAATGTTTGAACACAGGGAAGGGAAGGACTGGAGGTTTTTCTCTTTTTTTTCTTCTTCATTTTGTTTTTCCTTCGTTTTCTTATCTGTTCATTCTTCCAGATATTGCCACATGTTGAAGACTTCAGGCACTGGGACAGGATTTCTGCACTATTATTTCAAAATAGGTTTTAGTAAATTATGTTGTTCCATAATCTCAAAGATGGGAATTTCTTAGAACTTCTTAAAAAAATATATATATCTATATAACATATACTTCTTTGAGTATATGTCTCATCCAAGGATGAGACTGCTGCCTCTGCGGGCACCCTATTCTGGTGTTCAATCACCTTCACAGTACAAAAGTGTTTCCTGGTGGTCAGAGGGAGCCTCCTGTGCTTCAGTGTATGCCCATTGCCTCTCGACCTGTCACTGGGCTTCACCAAGCAGAGCCTGTCTCAGTTGTCTTTACTCCCTCCTGTCAGGTATTTATACACACCAATACGATCCCTCAAGCCTTCTCTTCTGCAGGCTAAACAGTTCCAGCTCTCCTGGCCTCTCCTCATATATCAGATGCTTCAATGCCTTCTTGACTAGTACCAGCAATAACAGAATCTTAATTAAATACATTCACTATCTAAAGACTACTTTTGTTAGCACAACTCAACTATTATTTTTCTTTCTGCAAGTGTTTAGACACATGAAGCTTGTTCTCAGTTACGGTAATATTCACTTTAAGGTCCCTTTACACTGAAAGCTTTGCAAAGGAACAATTGTGAGCTAGCAGTACATGAAACAGTAAATTCAAATTTAATTGGTTATAGAAAATATAGTTGTGTGATGCTTAGTGCTAATTGTTCCCTCTCTGCAAGATTTCCATGAAATAAAACACAGTGTAGTTTAATTTCAGATTGTTTATGTAAGACATTTTACATCTCAGAAGCCTATCATTCTGTTAAACAGCTTTTTCTTTCATTTGTTGCTAATCTTATACCTGTGAAATTTGGAGTTGATCCAGTGTTATATCTGAAGGCTCCAGAAGGAAGACCTGCTCACTGGGTTATAATTTTGGATTTTCTGCTACCTGTGGTGGAACAGATTGTTTCTTTTTTATACTCTCTGTTTTCTTTCCATTAGTGACTAAATTTCAGATCATGAAGTCTGTCTTTTTCTTCTGAATGGGGGTATTATTGAACTCAGTATTCTCTGAACTCAAAACTCTTGAATTGAATCCTCTTTCCTGCCTTACTGTACTCACAGAGAATCCTGCTCAGGTACAGCCCAAAAGGTCTGTTGCAGGTTTTTAGGAGCTGCTTATGCCTTGCTGTCACAAGCCATCAACCTTTTGGTTTACATGTGTCTTAGAGAGAGTATGCTGTCCTCTGTAGGTGGTTATTGACTCTGCAGTTTAGGTGGTTTGATACATTCAGGGACTTTTTGTAATAGGAGATACCCAAAGTGGAGATGAAAAGTCTTAATAACAGCAGAGAGGTAAGTCTTTGGCTTTGATACAGACAAGCATTCAGGGACTTTGTAATAGGAGATACCCAAAGTGGAGATGAAAAGTCTTAATAACAGCAGAGAGGTAAGTCTTTGGCTTCAGAAGGCAGCAGGAGGAGTAGTACTCCATGCAAAGCACTGGAGAGCAAGCAGCTCAAAGCTGACAGTAGTGCTTTTCCTTTTGCCTTCCTATTCTGATTGAAATAATTATTGTACTTTTTTTTTTCCCCAGTAGGTTCTTCCACAGTATTTTTTTTTTATCAACCTTTATCATAATTTATGATGGGGGTTTCTGGGAAGCCCTTCTCAGAAGGGAATAACTTGCCAGACAAAACACAGAATTTAACCATAATTCCTAGATCACACCTAAGTTATGCTGGTCCAGCTTTTGATCTACACCCTTGCTATTTCTCTTCAAAACAGAGACTTGTAGCTACTTCATGTTATTTTCCTATTGGTAACTACATGTAGTTGCTTTAACAACCTCTTCCAGTGGCCTGAGCTGAAGACTAGGATTGTCTTGAAATACATTTCTGGAGATTTGATGCCCAGGAGGAATTATCTATTATTAATGATTTAGTAAAGGAGCTGCTAATGGAATATTGTCAGAAAGGAATTTCTGCGTATCTGCAGCTGTTCAGCAAGGACTTTTGTGTATGCCATCTCGAACTCAAGCAATTGGATACTATGCTTATAAGAGTAGTATAAGAATTTTTTTTTGCTACAGCTGTTTTGGATTCAGTAATATTACATGTAATTTCACCAGTAAACGTTAGTTTTTATTATTCTAGAGCTTCTTCTATGGAATTCAAGCAAGAGTGTTCCAAGCAAGTGGTTGATGACAGCAAAGTTTTCGAGAAGATTCAAGGTTTGAGTCTACCAGAAGCCATTTAATTTTAATTTCTGTATTTCTATCTTTACAGCTCAATGCAAAGAACAATAGTGACATTATAAAGATTTTATTTGTATACATGCAATTTAAAAAAAGTTAGATGTTTATCAGAATATTATTAGAATCTAATACTAGCATAAATCAGTCATAAGAATACTTTCTCCTCTCTTTAAATAAAGTCTGTCCAAAGATTGTGGAGACAGTAGAGAATAATTGTGAATGTAATCAATAAAGTGTTAATTTCTGTGTTGACATAATCTCTGAAAAAATGCTGATACACAACACTGATCCTATGTTAAACTGGCATTAAATTTAAAAAGTTATTGGCAAAATGTACAAAGATAATCTCATTTCTTCAGTCGATTTAGTGCTAGTTAGTACTTTTGGCCATTATTTCTATACATTGGTAAGTTGTTTTTTGATAGTCTTTAATATTATGCTTATTAAAATATGTGGGTGTAATTGAGAGATTATCTACTGGAATATGTAGATAAATTTTACCAGGTTCCTACCTACAGTCTTTAGGACAGAGACATAATTTTGTGTTTAACATTATGGAAAGATGTTTATGCAGAGCTGGGTATAATCTTTGTAACCTGTGATAAACAAAAACTGTTGAACTGAACAGCTTCCAATTTGTAGAATCTCCACGATTTACTATCATTAGCTGGACCTGTTTAAGTAGGCACTCTTTGGTCACTAAAGTCTGCTTGGATTTTTACTTTTAGAAAAATTGTTGGAATAATAAATTAGGGATATTTTTTTTAATCTTCTAGTTATTCTGTTTTTTTCCCCTCGCATAATAGACACAAGTTGATTTGTCAGTTATCTGACTATATCTAAGGTTTGCTGGTGTGGCCTGGTAGAAGGTTGTGCGTATATACTTCAAGACATCTTTTAACATACGTTTGAGTTTGAACTTCACTGAAAAAAACTTCCTTCTTTCACCCTCCTGCCTATTTTACTTTATTATTGTAGATACAAGTAATTTGAATATATAATATGATATTAGCAGACTACTTCTGTTAGCAGAGTATGCTGAGAAACTGAGACATCCCCGAAGTAAACCTGCTACCTAAAGATTTTGATAAGGCTGTCATTTTTTGCCATAAAAATAGTTCTCTGCATGTCATTTTGGAATAATTTTGCAGAACTACTTATATTTGTTCTTGTTTCCATGTGTATTTACCGTGTTTGTACAATGAAGGAGCAACTCTGTGTCCCATAATGAAATGCTTGCATTACTAAAGTAATGTTCCTAAATTGCTTTGCATGTTGAATCACGGTATGGTTGTAAGCAGTTTTATAATCTGAGCACAATAGAGGGTAATAGCTTTTCTTGCTTTCCTTCTGTGATCTCTCTAAAAGTTTTGTTAGATATTGATGCTTCTGTGTATAATTTCTACTCAAGTAACTGATAGTTTCATTTTGAACTGACATTCTTTCATCAAAGATTAAGGGAGCGTGAATGTGTGGATATGTCATTTTAACCAGCAGTATCGTAAATAGTTGTGGTTTTCTTTATTTTTGTATCAGCTCCATAGCAAGTGGCCAACTTCAGGTGAATGCTGTGTTCTTTATTTCTCTAAATCCTCAGGTACACTCAGACAGACATTAAGTAAAAGAGGAGTTCGGGTTATAACAGGCTTAGGAAAGTATTTCCGACAACTAGACAAGAACAGAAATGGTTTTCTCTCTCAGGCAGACTTTAAAGAAGCTCTAAAAGTATTCCATTTGGAAGTGTCTGAAGGGGTAAGTCTAGCTCAAACTGTAATCGTGGGTATTATCTTACTTTAATTTATGGAATCACATATTTTCTTTGCTTAAATCCATAGTTTAATAGCTTTTTTTTTGCAAGGTGGCTTTTTTTTCTGTTCAGGTATATTGGCATATATGCATTCAGTTCTATGAAATTCTTCAAAATAAAAAATAATAAATTTAAGAACATGTAATCTCTTTACATCATGAAGAAGCAAGTGGGATTGCAATACTTTTTTTTTATTTTTTGGCCTTTTAAAAATAATTTAGATTATGCTATTTACTTATCTTTTTTCTTTGTTATACATATTATGTTCTAAAAATAGCCCACAGCTATCAGAACTGCAAATAGTGTGAATTATGGTCATCAGCGACTAATGATGACTTGCATTATTTCGACAAATGTTTGAGTCAGTTTGGATTTGGAAGTTGTGTTTTTTTGTGAGCATACTGTAATTTCCTATTTAGCAATTGTTTTATTCTGGGACATAGTGAAGAACTTTGGCAAAATATTTTCAAATTGCAGGACTTTGAATCCTTATGGCTTATTCTCGATGACAGCAAGAGTGATAAGGTCGACTATGGAGATTTTACTCGTGCTGTATTTGGAGAAATGAATGAATATAGGAAAGCATTTGTAAGAAAAGTAAGTTTTTTGTTGCAGATATTCCAAGTGTAGATATTTTGCAGTCTAACTTCGGAGACATCATGTTCTGTTGTTGGTGGGGTTTTTTGCTGTTTTTTAAATTGTGCACCTGGTAATTAACTTTTTAAACTTTCAGATTATTAAAATAAATGTAAATTAGAGGACTGCATGCTATTCCATTGTTGAATTAGTTAATTTTGAACTCTGCAACTTACAATTAATTCCTTTATTATTATGAGTTTGTGTGTGTGTGTGCTATTCTTACAGTTCCATCCAGTGCATGAAGCATCTAGCATACTGAAACTATCTTCCGGAAGGCTGTTTCCTTATTTTGTCAGATCACTGAGTGTGTGTGCAGTTTTTTTCTCCTTCACCATCTGAAATAGGAGGGAATAACACTTGTCTCCTTTGAGATTTACAATTAACTCATTATATTTGTGAGACTTCTTATATTTGCAATGCCATTTGTTTTATGTCTGTAAGGTAATGTGGAGCCGTTTGCAGTATGAAACCCTGACCAGCCAGTAGAGTAGCAACTGGATATCAAGTTCAAGAAAAATTACATACACTTTCATACTTTTAATCATGGAGGATCTGACTCTCCTTGCCTTATGAGTCAAGCATGTGTATTTTGAGTAAACTGACATGAAAATGAAGCTGCTGTTAGCAATGCTGAAGAGGCTGTGTTGAGGCCTCTGTCAGAATGACACAGGAATCTTAGTAATTGGAGAAGGCAGAAAGGAAGCAGCTTAACTTCTGATTCTACAGGTGACCTAGAAATTCTGGAGAGAAGACAAATTTTTGTGAGTTGTTGAGGGGACCACATTTGATGTGAAATAAAATAGTAATGGAATTCCATAATCTAGAATAATTTTCTGGTATCTGGTACTTTACATAAAATAGGTAGATTGACATAATCCATTGCACAATATCTAAAAATATGTGCTAGGTAGTTAAGTATGTTTGATCTTCACATTTCTCCGCTTGTTTTTCACTTTGGGTTTTTTTTCCTTATATGATTATATGAAACTGTTTCCCTTATAGGCTTATATGAAACTAGATTTCAACAAAACTGGGAGTGTGCCTATGGTAGATATCAGAAAATGTTACTGTGCAAAGAAACATCCTCTAGTATTGGCAGGTAATTCACATGAACAACAACAAAAAAATCTGTAACTACTGAAGTAAGTTTGTTAGCAGAGATACCGTATCCAGAATCTGGTTGCAAATACAAACTGTGTTCTTATTGGATCAAACTTGAGCTGTTAAGGAGAACTTTTTTTCCTCTGAAGACCTATAATGTGTCTGTCTGGAACATGACTATAAATAGTAATGGAGTTCATATGCACAATTTTAATACTTGCTTTTTGTCAAGCTGCAAATACTGCATATATGCAGAGTACTTTCTTTCCCATAGGACTACATTTAAGCAGTTATTTCTCAACTTTGGTGTGCAAGTTATTAGTTACACATATGATACTAGTAATTTTCACTTAAAAGGATACTCTCATTTTTCCAATGCTATAATACTATATTTTTTCCATTTTTTTGCCCTCAATGCTATTATATCATCTTGAATATAGTCTTTATTAAGTCACTAGAACACACATATCAATTGCAGAAGACTTTTTGAATGCAAACTTGCATCATAAGGTTTTCCTAGAGCTTTGAACTTGTGTTACATTAAACATATGCTTTATTGCAAGATAACTTGTGAATTACCAAAGTTTTAGTTTACAAATACATTTTTTTTTGCAGTAATTTGAAGAAAAAAATGTTCCTGATCTCATAGTTCATTTAAAACAATTGTGGCCTCATGCTTCTGTTGCTATTTAATTGCTGGTGTGTGCTTTTAAAGTAAGGTGATTTCTGCAGCTGTTATTAAGTGAACCAATGACTTAATTCTGAAGACTGAATGGTTAAATTTGTTCTAGAAAAAATATTTGCAAGCTAAAATTTGAAAGTTTCTTGCCTGAAATACAATAAATGCTATATATGCACTGTTCTTGAAAATGTAGTTAATGGAAAAAAATATACTTTCACAGGAAAAGCTACAGAAGAAGAAATTCAGTCGTCATTTCTAGAAACATTAGGAGAGTCCTGCAGCAATCCCAATGAAGTGTCCTATTCTGAGTTTGAAGATTACTATGAAGGATTAAGTTTTGGAATCGTGGATGATGATGATTTTGTCAATATCTTAAGGAATCCTTGGGGAATTTAGAGTGGAAGAAGAAAAAATGAAGAAGAGACCTTTTCAAAACAAGGAGTGCGCTAAATAAGGGAGGACTTAGTCTTAATATGCATTACTTCATAATTAGTGTCTTAAACTGATTTCAGGGACTGAAAATTTTAGGTGTTTTCAGAGTAACACTTGACAAATTTCTTAGAGTGTCTGTTGAGCTATGCTAACCACTTTTTTTGATATAAATGCTGTTCATTCCTTTTCATTGGAAATGATAAAGGCTGTTCCCCATACCAAAAGCCATCATTTACTTGATATTAAAGTAGCCTATTTTAAAACAAGAGGGAATTGGAATACTAAAATGCATGAAGGAATATATGCAAGAGAGAATTTAGTTTTATGATGCATCGTGAAAAGCTTTAGATTTGACTGTATAAATATCAACGGTAGCTTTTCTTCAGAGTTTTCTTCTTGTAAAAGTAATATGTTTATTCATATAATGTTCTTTGTCTCGTTTCTTGTTTCTTATGCTGGTACTTTCTTGAAAGAGAGCAGGTCATCCTTTTGCAGTTTTGAGGATGTCTGCCTTACTGAAAGTGCAGAGATGTTCACACCAATCAGCCCTTTGGCGTGTGGCCCATTTTGACTAATCTTATTTTTTCATCTTGGTCAGGCATCCAAAGCTGAGCACTGAATCCCAAAGGTTTTAATAAGCGAACACATATTTTCTAATGCACTTTGTCCTTTCCTACATTTTGATAAGTGGTTTTCAAAATGAATAATTTCTACTTAAATATCTGGTTTCTTGACTTTCAATTGCTGAGATTTTTTTAACTAAAACCTAGCAATTACATCCTTTGTCAAACTGATATATAGCACTTCATGTCTACTCTGAAAGTATAAAACAGAAAAATATAAAAAAACCCATCACAACAAAAATTAAACCATCAATTAAAATATTCCTTGCTACTTGAAAACTCAGCCAGATATGCTTTTTAATGTAATACATCTTGTTAATTCAGTAAAAATCTTAGTGTTAAGAAATAAAAAAATGTATTCTTAATTATATATCTAGAGAGAGAGCCTTTGGTTTCAATATACCTGTCACCAAAATTAACTGTACGCTGAACTGCATTTCTTAAGCCTATGCAATTACAATATATTAGTTTCCTCTGTGCTTGTCTGCTTGGTTTTGAATTTACAGTCTGTGGTTAACAGACCCTTCCTCTGAGATGGAATTTGTGTTTCATAGGAATTGAAGGGCAGTGCTGAAATTAATGCTGTGGAGTGAGGAACTTTGGTCCCCCTGTGGCTGACTGGTTTATTCTAGAATAGAGCACTTTCTTGTTCTCATAGCTTGTGCATTGTTTTGTTTTGGTAGTTTGTACCCTGTCCTCCATTGTAACTGGAATTGCAGTTTCTGCTCTAAATCCTGAAAAGAGGGACTTTGGGGGGTTCTTTTGGGGCTGCAAAAGTTGTATCTATTGGTTTACAGATAACTGCAAATTCTGTCAATACTTATTCTAAGCAAGAATTCTGATGTGGCTCATGACGATTTTCTCACTCCCAATTCCTG